TATATATATATATATATATATATATCAAACGTATATAAGATATAAAATAAATACGTAATTTAATATTTTCAATCTATTTTCATCGTTTAACATCTTGAGCAATGTATGACAATCACGATCAATAATTGTGCGTTATTATGAATTCTATTTGTTTTCATTCATTGATAATTACTACATTTACTTGCGTGATATAATTTTGCATTTGTCCGTTGTCTATAATTATTGCAAACTTATGTTTATAATGTGTAATTCGCACGTTTATATCCAACGACGCGAGTCTGTAATGCAAAGAGAAAATAACAAATGAGCGACAACGTGATTGAAATCGCAACTCAATTATTGCCAAGACGTTGACGTACCGAGTAATTATAATTTAACGTGGTGAATAGAAACCGTATGCAAATGAACAGCAATTCCACAGCCAGGTGGTATTAATGTTTCAGTGTTGAACTGTCCGGATGTCTCAGCGCCCAACGGAAGTTACGTATTGAATGGTACTCTGACCTCGAGGACTTTCCTGTGCAAATTCGGCACCGTGTTCCCCGACAGTAAAGAAAGGACAAGGATACTCGAGTGCAAGAATGGCAAGTGGAATGAGAGTGTCATCAGTATGCCGAGTTGCACAGGTAACCGCGATTCCCTTTTTATCAACATATCTTTCTCTCGCAAGCGGCGTAGTTCGTTGACATAGAAAATTAATGCGAAACATCTTGCCAACCACAAATGCAAATGTTCTACACATATATCGTGTAATTTGAGATTCTAATATCATAAGTGAAGTTCATAGAAGTTAAATCATCCTTTACACGCCAGTGACACGTAGTTTAGAATTTTAAAAAGAATATCGTCCAAAAAATCTGGATTGTCTACAAATTTTATAAGTCTACGAATTTGAAAAGAAAGACAGTACAAGCGGGACAGTAAAATCACTAACAACTATGTTAGTATTTTTCACAACAGTTTCCTCGAATTCTTAATCGAAACTGAGACGTGACATTTAATTGAAATTATTTTCAATCTACCAACTACGTCCACTATCGACGTGACAACAAAAACTGACGTCAGTATCTTTGTATCGAAAATACGAACGAGATTTATAGTGATCGTGGTGCCTGAGTTGGTTGCTACGTTCCTCACAGGCCTCCCGGGAACCCATGGCTGCCCATTGCGTTCGAAAGGGGAAATCCGTGGTGGGGGTTATCGTGGTGAACGGCGGGGACACTGAAAGAGGGGTTGTTGGTGCGCGGGGGACGGGGCAGGAAGAAAGAAAAAGACGGAGGGAAAGAATCTTGGGGCGGAGAAGTATTCGTGAAGGCACCATACATCGGTAGCGTCGCACACGTAACGACGCCAGCCGTCTCGACGCCACGTGTCTCCGCGCAAAAATCATTTGAAAATCAATTTCCTGTGCGAAATCTCCCTAACTCGATCATATTTTTCTATTGAGTCGTATTTTCGTTTCGAATCCTCGCCGCTCGATTGATCAGTGACGTCGGTATCGAAACGTTTACATTCGCGAAACGGCAACGAAGAAGAGAGAATCACCCATCCAATCACTTTCACGTCATTTGAACATCATCAGGTAATTTTTTTCAACAAACTAACTCTATTTTTTTTATCTGTCTCTTCCGTGTTCTTTGATCGTATACGTATCTTGTAACGATCGTTCAACGTTTCCCGGAAACCGCGAGTTTCAAGCGAGAAACATGAACCAATGAAACACATTTCGCTACGATAAATCAACGTCCAGAGACGTCTCTGCGTTTCTTTGCCTTTGTTTTTTTTTTCTTTTCTTTTCTTTTCTATTTTCGATTCTTGCGAGTGCACGATCTCGCATACGATTGAATATATGCATATAAATCAAGTCAGACCGATGTCTTCTTCCGCTCGAACTTTCGTACTTAAGCGGAATTGCGAATTAATTAACGGCGCCTTCAGCCTTTCTTCGTGCTTCGAGAATCTGCTCTTTAAAACATGATATGTTCAGCGGATTATTAATTACCCTCGCTGACGAGAGTAAACCTATTCAACTTTACCTTTCTGCTGAGATCGTCGTAAATTTGAAAATCATATTACAGGAAATCTTACCCAAAGAGATATGAAATTCATCTATCAAATAGTTATATTCATTCCTTTGATAGTATAAAACGAATATTCAACTTTGTTTCTAATCTATTGGTTTATTTCCATCATTTATTACTGACAATTGACGACGATACAAATTCTCAAAATTTAATTATTTCCAACAAAGTTTCAAAATGTTCTGGTTATGATATATATTTGTAAAAAGTTCGTTTCAGTGTCCAAACACTTTCGCGAGCCACTGTGTATCAAAAGAGTTTCAATCTACTTTAGCCTCTTATCACATTTATAATGTTTGCACATCCATATCTTTATCTTCTTTTCTGAAAATTTCCGTAATCACGCGTTATCAATTCGAGAGTTTTCTCTCGAAAACCAACCGATCCCAATAACGATACAGCGCCGCTAATTCGGGCCGGTCGCCCGTTGAATGAGAGCTGCAAGCCGAA